AGGGATGGTTTCCTCTTGGAAGAGGGGGGTGATCATAGCCTCCTTATATATATATATATATATAGCCCTCGTTTGTTGTCCTCTTCTCTCTCTCTGCCTACGGTTTACCGGGCAGTTCTATTTGTGACGATATATATATATATATATATATATATATATATAGTGTTTGGACGCACGTCGTGATCCGTGGTACTGTGCTTTCGCGTGTGCAGGTGCGTCTGCCCTTCCGCATCCATAGAGCAGGGGCGTCAACATGATCCGCGAACAACCTCCTGCAGCTTTGCCGCCGTCGCCGAAATCCCCGTTGCTTCCTACCCTTCTCTCTTTATCTCCATCCGCCTCACGCGCTCTTTCTTCTTTGCAAGGCTCTCCGGTGTACCATGATATTTCACGAGGTCGAGGGACAGGCCTTTTGGATCCACGCGGACGCACTCGAACGGATTGTATATTGGAGAGACCTGCAACCAGGCAGCGTTTGGATAACAGAATGGTCGTTCTGCCGTTCTCTCCTTTGCTGAATTCGATAAATGTCACACAAACTCCTCTCCTGAGTCACATGCGTGCAGTCATTGCTGCAATCCCGGCTCTCCCCACTTTCGTTGGCGATCCCGCAACGTCTTCGTTTGTGCAATCCGCTGTTCTTTCTTCTCGTCCTCCATTTTCTTCGCCCATGGGCTCTCTCGCAGCGATGTTGCCGACGCCATGGTCAGAAAGTCAGAGCATGTGCGGTGTTCAACAAAGTCGTTTAGACGCCGCGCATCCATTTGGTTTGCCGCGGTCGTTCCCGTCTTCGGGCCATGACATCTCCGGCGCGGTGCCCGTTGCGGGTGTCTTTTCGTCGGATCCTGTTCGTCGAACACAAGAGACACCTTCACCGATCGAAGCAGTGAAGATGACATCATGCACTCCGGTTTCCAGCAACGGTGCACTCGATGTTCTGTCCCCGGCTAATGATAGCGAGGCTGGGATGAATTTCTCGCCTCGATCGCCCCACACGAGGTCCAGTGCACCTCCTGAAGGCAAGCCTCACTGAGTGCGATGTAAACTTGATCAAAAAAATCGCCTGAGTGAGATTGCGAAGGCGATGGGGAAGAAGTTGTCGACTCGACCTCGAGGCTCCAAAGATAAGAAGAAAAATCATTGTTCGTACGAGGACGTGTTCGATCAGCTCATGGAGTGGAGTTCCGTTCACATTGATGAGCTGATGTCAAAGTACGGCCCCAACAAAAAATCGTCTGGCCACGGGGGTTCATGCGGACAAGGATCGGACGCAACGGCGACACCAAAGTCGCGAGGTGGCAGACCTCGCAGTGATGCATTGAAATGGGGCGACGGCAAGCCGGGATATTCGGATAATGATCCGATGTTTGAACGATTGAGCGTGAGGGACCAAATGGCCATGTGGGATGCTAAAGCAAAACCTAGGGTCGTTTTCATTGAGCCGGTCAAACTTCTACAGATTCTCAGGATGTTCGAGCAAACGTGTCCTTGGCACAAGAAAGATGTTGAGGTGACGATCAAGAAGATCCATTATCCATGTCACATTTGCAAGTTGCAATTCGAGTGTGGGAAAGGGTGCACTTGGCACTGGAGTTCCGCGAAGGTTGTTTCACCGGGCGGGGTGAGAAATTCGAGGGTTGAGACTCAATTGTTCCACTCCACTTTGACTGCGCGAATGACTTACACTCAATTGAATAACCTCTTGCGGGGCTTAGGGATGAGGAAGGTCAGGAAAGCAACTTTCTATATTTTTTTTCGTGTTGACGGCCCAGGTTCCCGACAATGGCTGCGACACGTCGAACGGGTTACTCAAAAGAGCTTCGACAAGGTCATCGCGCGATTGCGTAGGTCGAACGATCCGGTCGTCGTTTTGGTTGACGGGCGTTACGATTCGTCTCGTGACGCTCAGCATTGTACAGTGACGACGGTGGATTTGAAGTCAGGAATGATCGTGGGGACGGAGACCATGCTCCAGGGGAACGAGTCGTCATGGAAGCTGGAGACACAGTGTGTTGAGAAACTGCTACATCGGTTCAAGGACGAGAAGAACCTCATAATCGCAGAGGTTGTGCATGATGATTGTGGCGCGGTTGACGTCATATTGCGGCGAATGAACATTGACTCACAAAAGTGTATGTGGCATAAGGCGAAGACTTTGGTCAAACGCTTGCGAGAGGCTATGCGCGGCACGAAGACTGTCAAACCAGCTGCAATCGGGGCTTGCGAGCATGTGCATGAGGTGAAGTGTTTCACAAAGAAGGAGCTCGAACTTTGGCTCGAATCGAAATGTGTACACGTGGCAGGGGTGTCAACGAGAAAAAAGGATGAACTTGTTGAGATTGTTTGGGGCGTGCTCTTCCCCGACGAAGCAGGGAAAGCGTTGCCAGATGATGTCGCCGAGATCGATGCGTTGCAAACTCTGCATTGCAATGCGGTGGAGGAGGCGAAGGAGTGGTTGTACAACGTTTGCAGGCTGTGCGAGCGCACAAAGGATGACGATGGCGATGTGTTGGTCACGCATGTGCAACACCTCGCCGATCATTGGGCCTGGGCCGGGGATCATTCCTGTTGTGATAAGGAGTTGTCCAACCTGTGCAAAGCGGTCGGGGGTCCGGACAGGGATCCACTGTACGAGTCGGGGGGGCGTGTTCATTTCGCCGTTGCGCACTATCTTGAACAGTTCGCTTCGAATACGGAGATGGCGTACTACACACGTGCGAGGATGACCTTCAACAATGAGTGCTTCCACTCCGTGATTAACAAGTACACAACGAAACGCCTGAACTTCCCCAAGTCGTATGAGGCGCGCGTGTGTTGCACTGCTTTGGAGTGGAATAAAAACAAACGAATCAGGCGATTGCACACAGTCTTCCGCAAACCGACAAACGTAACCCATCGACGTCGTTCCGCACGACAACATATATACGCCGCACGGGATACGTCGTAGCGCTTCGACATTGCAACTGCAGTTTTTGGCAGCCCTCGGGTCAGAGATTGGGCACGTAACACGTTGCAGCAATCGAACGTCGACGACCCAGCTATTGAGCATTATGATGAGGAAGCCGATTATGGACTCCCTGATGCCATTGAGAGTGCGGTGGAGGGTGTTGTGGCCGAAGGTGACAATGTTTTCGTTGAAGCGGGAAGCGAAAGTGCTTCAAATGACGAAAAGTCGTCTTCTGACTCCGACACTGATGGTGCCGCTCACCGCCTCGACTTTGACGGTGCCGTTCTTTCGCAGGAGGTGTCTGTTGCGCAGGAGTGATATTGTCACGTACTACATCGATGCCCATTGTCGTCGTCATAATCATTAGAATGTTATGTCCTCGATTTGAATTGATTGTGATAACTGGTTGTGAGAACAGGTTGTGAGAACTGGTTGTAATTTTGAACTGGTTGTGATAACTGGTTGTGAGAACTGGTTGTAATTTTTAATTGGTTGTGATAACTGATTGTGATAACTGGTTGTTCGAACTGATTGTTCGAACTGGTTGTGAGAACTGGTTGTAATTTTGAACTGGTTGTTCGAACT